AGCTATAGTCCTAAGGGACAAACTTTTGTCACAAGCCCTCATAGGCATGAGGTTAGTTCATAATTAACTTACAACCTACTGAGCCCAGTTTCCTAATTTGTATGATAAGTGGGTTGGGCTCACTATGACCCCTTCGAGCTCCAAAATGCCTGATAACTGCCTTTCTCCTCAAACTTTGTACATGAACTTTGTTAAGCCAGACCTCCTCCATTCCACGCTTCTGTCACTTGTTTTTGAGCCCCAAATTTCATTTTTCAATTAATACTCGCTGTTATTTACCTTTATAACAGTTTGTTCTGTGGTTTGGAACCATCATCCCCCCTGCCCCCCTTTTTTAAGAAGGTTTTTATTGGTCCTCACAAAATTCTCTGATTCAATTGTAAGCTCTTTTTAATTTTTTTTATTTTTATTGATTTCAGAGAGGAAGGAAGAGGGAGAGTGTGCAATGTTTATGTGTTTGTCCCCCCACGTCCCGCGTGGTTCAGGGTTCAGGATCTGGAAATATTGGGGGGCCAGGCGGGCAAGTCCAACTCAAGGGGAAGGACTTCCACTGGTGCTCAGGCCTCACCAACCTTTTATTGGTTTGGGATACACCCATAGCCCTTAGGCAGGCAATTTCCAGTTAACAGGCAGACTTGCCCATCAGCAAGGATTTACATAATAATAAATGGGGAAGTTGCTTCAGCTACCATTGTCTGGACTAACAGTGGGTGCACAGCCCTGACCTTTGCCAGGACTTCAAGGGTCACCAGCCTTCCGGATTCCTTGTCCATACCTCTCTGCTAGTGAAGACAATAGGTGGCTTCCCACAGGAGAGATAGAAACAACGATGAGAGAGAATCATTGACTGGCTGCCTCCAGCACGCCCCCTACTGGGGATCGAGCCTGCAACCCGGACATGTGTCCTTGACCGGAATCGAACCTGGGACCCTTCAGTCCGCAGGCCGACTCTCTATCCACCAAGCCAAACCGGCTAAGGCTCATTGTTCCCTGTCTTAATGTTTGAATCTTGAGTTTCCCTTTTGGTATACTCTCTTATTGTTTGTTTGTTTTATTATAGCTCCTAGTGAAAGGGCGAGGGCTACACCCTCCATCTTGCCCCGAATCCTCCATTTTTGGGCAGAGCCATGTGCTCAGCAAAGAGCTTCTTCCCGGAAGAAGCCCAAGCCTCTGCTAGCCACACCTAGGATTTCTTTAA